TTGGCAACTCCAATCTTGCAACTTTTTAAGACTTGTGGACTCCAACTACCAGAATTCAGCCTTGGCAAATCCAACCTTGCAACTTTTTAAGACTTGTGACTTGAAGTCCACAAGTTTTAGAGTTATCACGTTTTAGAGATCCCTGCTTCGGGAGAGCAGTAAGTTGGAGAAAATTATTGAAGTGCCCATTTTCTTTCTTCCCCTCTCTTGAGACTAAGAGTAAAACCTTTGGCAGCAACAGCTGGAGAAAGGAACAGTATAGATCTTGGCCATGAAGTCAGAGCCAAAGCGGACTGGAGGATCCAGTTACATCCTGACTGGAAGGGGCAGCTGTCCGATGCAAAGTTCACAAGGGAGCCAGACTCAAAGCAAGAGTTGGAGGAGGCAAAGCAGAAATTTAATTTCTCGTCTTAATAAGCCCTTTTCTCAACCCACAAATTTGTACGAGAAGCAACTGAAACCACATCACCATCTTTAGATGTTCAAACCCAGCCAGGCAGAATTGACAGCTAGACAAATGCAGCCTACTTTGTGCATTCATAACAGGGGTCCCTAAACTTGGCAACTTTAAGACTTGCGGACTTCAACTCCCAGAATTCTCCAGCCAGCATATCTGGCTGGAGAATTCTGGGAGTTGAAGTCCGCAAGTCTTAAAATTGCCAAGTTTGGAGACCTCTGATTTATAACATGATTTATACAGTCCTTCTCAAGAGTAGGAAGAGAATCAGAACTGGAGGCAAATGCATGTGCTGGATCTCAGCTTCTATAATCCCCACCACCACTGTGGTGATGGGCTTAAATCTTGTATATTGTAGATTTCATGAATTTTAGGAAGGCTGCTGTGTAAATTGTGGTCTTAAACCAAGAGGAGATAAGTGCCATTCGGATAAATGGGATTGCCTTCTTAATGAGCTTATCATGGGGGGTGGGGGGAAAATTGATGGCATTATCTTATGACAAGTACAATTAGTTCTGTTTATTTTGACTTCTACCAGACACCAGATCTTATTAAAACATACCAATCAACAAGATCTGTCATAACTATCTCAAACCCCACTGATTATCAATGAGCATATTTCAGATATGAAGACTTCTGCGCCAAATACCCAAAGTCTTTTGGGGAAGAATTAGAATTCTTTTATTGGCCAAGTATGATTGGACACACAAGGAATTTTTCTTGGTGCAAATGCTCTCGGTCAACATAAAAGAAAACATACATTCGTCAAGAATCATAAGGTACAACACTTAATAATAGTCATAGAGTACAAAAGCAATCAAATCATACTAGGAAACTGTCAATAGCTAAATGTCTATCCCACAAGCTAAATGGCAATCCCAACAAGAAATGAGATTTATCTTACTTAATGTAGTTACCATATGCAGATTATTGCACAGGTTTCTGAAAGAGCCTCTAAGCAACTTCATGAAATTAGTTCACGAAGAAAGATGGAAGAGCAGCTTTTTCTGAGTTATTCCAAATTCCAGTTCTGGAAATGGGGGAATCCCCCTTGGTAGTAAAATCATGTGGGGGTTTTTTCCCCCAACCTATTGCCTTCCAGATGTTTGGAATTTCCAAAATCGGTGTGCTGGACTGAAATCCAAGGGAAACTCCCTATTAAGAGAGGCTGTGCAAAAGAGTTTTCAGAAAGGTGACACTGAGCAACTCAAGGAAAGGAGGGGGAGGAAATGTAATCCTTAAAACACGATGCCTCGCATGTTGCATCCAATCGGAATGGTTTGGTGGGTTTCGAGGGTTAGGGATATATATGTTAATATTATTTTTAGATTAATATTGTAAGGTGGTGTTCTTGGAGTCAAGAAGCTTTAAAAATCAATTTAATTTAATTAATAAATAAAAACGGCTTTCTCAGGTGTTTTGATACAGCCTGTCAGAAATCCAAAATATCCAGGAATAAAATGGAGGAGGGAGGGAGAAGAGAAACCGAGAGTGTTTGGGAGCGGGGAGGAAACCACTTGGTTTAATGAGATGCTTAGAAACGTCTATGGAGATTGTCAGTCATCCAGGCTATGGCTGTGAAGTTGAACTTTACAAAAGGTCTTCACACTCGGGACAGAAAATGAAGAACTGATTAAATTAACTCTCAGGAGCTCAGATGCCATACGTCTTTATTCGTTTATTTGAGAACTTACCTGCCCAAGTGTCAAGTAAGCCATTTACACCTGAGGAGTTTTTAAAACAAAAAACGCACACGCATACCACGCCGTGAATCTTTTAAAGGGCCAGAAGCGATCGGCTTGTAGCCAATCCTGGGGGCCAAGGCCGATCCACCTTAAGCGAAAGGGCTTCGTCGGGGTCCAGGATCTCCGCCTGGAGCCCTCGTGATAGGTAGCTGGGAGAGGCGGGGCGGGGCCTGACTGCTTCTGCTTTAAATAGCCCGAGAGCGCATCCACCGCTGCTGGAGCTGAAGAGAATTAGAAGTTGGCCGAGTGGGGACGGCGGCGTTACTGCTGTGGACGTTTACAGAGCTGCTCAGGTGGCTTAGCTTCTCCGGAGCGCCACAAAAGCGGGTCTTCCGCAACCCGCCTAGAAGGACAAGCTTTCTCGGGGCGCTTTCGCTGAACCGGTCTGGCGGAGCGGCTGAAGGGCTGCGTCTTCGGGGGGTTCTCAGCCATCTTTGACACGGCGCGCAGCTGAAGGAAAGTTGAGAAGACACCCCCCACAGCCAGAGACGAAGAAGCCGCCGTAGCCCCAGCAGCCAAGCGCCGCGTCTCTCATCCTAGCTCGGCGGCGAGGAGGAGAGAGATGAGCTTCAGGAAGCCGGGAGCTTAGCCGCCCAGTGAATTCGGAGCCGAGGACGCCACTTCGTTTCCAGGTCGGAGGGCGGACTTACTTCGCCGAGCATGGAGCCTCGCACTTACCTGTTGACCGTCGCTTTTCTGCTGCTCTTCCTGCCTGCCTGGTCGCCGCTGCAAAGGCAACCTAGCTCCGCCGCCGCCGCCGCCGCCGCTGCGGCAGCAGCAGCTGCGGTAGCAGCGGGCTCTTCGTCCGCCAAGGAGCTGTCCTGCCAGGAAATCACCGTGCCGCTGTGCAAAGGCATCGGCTACAACTACACTTACATGCCCAACCAGTTCAACCACGATACGCAGGACGAGGCGGGGCTGGAAGTCCACCAGTTCTGGCCCTTGGTAGAGATCCAGTGTTCGGCGGACCTGCGCTTTTTCCTGTGCAGCATGTATACGCCCATCTGTCTGGAGAACTACAAGAAGCCACTGCCGCCCTGCCGCAGCGTCTGCGAGCGGGCCAAGGCCGGCTGCGCGCCTCTCATGCGCCAGTACGGCTTCGCCTGGCCGGACCGCATGCGCTGCGACCGCCTGCCCGAGCAAGGCAACCAGGACATGCTTTGCATGGACTACAACCACACCGATCTCGCGACCGCCGCGCCGCAGCCGCAGCCCAAGCCGCCGCACCGAAAGCCGGCAGGCGGCGGGACTGGCAGGGGCTCCGGGGCTGTGGTGCCGCCTCCGTCCGCCGCGGATCCCCCGCTCCGCAAGGGTCGCCCTCCAACCCCCTGCGAGCCGGGCTGCCAGTGCCGGGCGCCGATGGTGTCGGTCTCCAGCGAACGCCACCCGCTTTACAACAGGGTCAAGACGGGCCAGATCGCCAACTGCGCCCTGCCGTGCCACAACCCTTTCTTCAGCGCGGACGAGCGCGCGTTCACCGCCTTCTGGATCGGCCTGTGGTCCATCCTGTGTTTCATCTCCACCTTCGCCACGGTCTCCACCTTCCTGATCGACATGGAGCGCTTCAAGTACCCGGAGCGGCCCATCATCTTCCTGGCCGCCTGCTACCTCTTCGTCTCGCTGGGCTATTTGGTGCGCTTAGTCGCTGGCCACGAAAAAGTGGCTTGTAGCGGCGGAGCGGCGGCGGCGGCAGCGGCGGCAGGAGCAGGACCGGCGGGCCCCGCTGGAGGCGCTGCGGGGGCGGCCGCGGCCGCGGTGGGAGGCCGCGGAGCAGCTGGCGGAGCCGCGGAGCTACAGCCCGACTTGGCGGTGGCTGAGCACGTGCGCTACGAGAGCACGGGCCCGGCTCTGTGCACCATCGTCTTCCTTCTGGTCTACTTCTTTGGCATGGCCAGCTCCATCTGGTGGGTTATCCTGTCACTCACCTGGTTCTTGGCGGCAGGCATGAAGTGGGGTAACGAGGCCATTGCGAGTTATGCTCAGTACTTCCACCTTGCGGCTTGGTTACTTCCCAGCATCAAGTCCATTGCAGTGCTGGCTCTCAGTTCCGTGGATGGAGATCCCGTGGCTGGGATCTGTTACGTGGGCAACCAGAGCCTAGAGAACCTGCGAGGGTTTGTGCTGGCCCCTTTGCTTATCTACCTGGCCATCGGCTCCATGTTCTTGCTGGCTGGGTTTGTCTCCCTCTTCCGCATCAGGAGTGTCATCAAGCAGCAAGGGGGCCCCACCAAGACGCACAAGCTGGAGAAGCTCATGATCCGCCTGGGCCTCTTCACTGTGCTCTACACAGTGCCTGCTGCCAGTGTGGTGGCTTGCCTTTTCTACGAGCAGCATAACCGCCCCCACTGGGAAGCCACACACAACTGTCCCTGCCTGCGGGACCAAGAGCCTGACCAAGCCCGCCGGCCAGACTATGCAGTTTTTATGCTCAAGTACTTCATGTGCCTAGTGGTTGGCATCACCTCTGGAGTTTGGGTCTGGTCTGGAAAGACGCTGGAGTCCTGGAGGGCACTGTGCACCCGCTGCTGTTGGGCTAGCAAAGGGACCGCAGTTGCCGTGGTGGGGAGCATTGGAGTCAGGGGAGGAGGTGGGGGCCTAGGGTCTGCTGCCGCTGTGGGAGGGCTGGGGGGTGGAGGGGGGTCTATGTACAGCGATGTCAGCACTGGTTTGACTTGGAGGTCTGGCACTGCCAGTTCGGTTTCCTACCCTAAACAAATGCCTTTGTCCCAGGTGTAAAATCTGGAGTTTGGAACAGAGGAATATGGTGCCCATCCATCTCTCTTTGAGAAGAAACCTCCCTAAGGAGCAGGGCAGTTCCAGAGGCCCAAGTGCCAGAATCATTGTCCTCAGCCTCTTCCTCTGTTCCTTGTTAGTCAACCTTTCCATGTCAAAGCTGCATGTTTTTGTGTTGTTGGTATAAGAATTTTCTGGAGACAAGAGTTGCCTTATTTGTCTTCAGCCAGCACAAGCCCTTTGGCCCAGTAGGACTCTTCCTGTCCATCCCTCAAAAGTCTTGATACAATGTGAAGGGATGTCTCTAAGGCTAATTGACCTGCAGGGGTGGAAGAGTCCCTTAAGAATCCCCCCCCACCTTTATTTCAATGCCAACAACCACAAAAACTGGCAGATGCCTTAAAATCATGTGCTCAAATCATGTCTTAATTGTACACCCCCCCCAGTAAATACGGGTTTATTATGTTTAAAGGATGTATTTATATAATTATTGGTACCTTGTACAAAATGTGTAAAATATGTATATATTCCAAATACTATACAGTCTGTAAATTTCTTTTGTTTAAAGAAAAAAAAATTTAGAGGCTTACTCCCATGGCTCTTGCCTAAGAGCGAAAGTTTGAGTATTCTATTTTGTCAATAAAATCATGTCAAATGATTTGTTTGGGAGGGGCAATGCTCCCTTGTTGCTCTCCTAGTTATTTTTAATTCTTGACTTTTGAAAAATACAGATGTTTCCTCAGAGTACTGCTCAAATAAATGCCTTGACATATTTCAGTAAAATCCACAGAGGCATTTTCAGAACCTGAGATCATCGGGTCCAGCTATCAACATTTTTGGCTGTTGGTGATGTTGGCTGGAAAAAGGTAGTTGCTGGAGTCTAAAAATACGTAGTCAAGAATTCTTAATGTTTAACTTTGAAATTATAACTCGACAGAGTGGTCTTTGGTGCTCTCTGAGCTTGGTTATTTTCTTGCAGATGTTCCATTACCTAAACTAGTGCTCATCACCAGTGCTCATTTCAACACTTGAGCTGCCAATATTCTCCTTTGTTGGTAACTGGACAGAGTCCAGAAGTTATAAAGCAATGGCTTTTCATCACATCATAGAGCAAAGTGGACAGGGCTACATCTGTCAAGGTGTTAATTCTAAGTGGTGGGTTGATTGACCATCAAGTCAATGTCACTCTTAGCCATGTTTTCTCCATGATGATCTGCCTGTAATCTGGACTTGCAAGGTAGGGTGGTTTCTCCATATATTGTGGGATATGCTAGAATTCCCAGTTAGCAGCATCTTGATTGGGAATGAAGCTTATTTGGGGTGAAGGCTTTTGGGGGTCTTCAGGAACTCTTGCTTTATCCTGCAGTAATCTGGAAGAATAGCATTTCCATCCCACGAGTCTATTGTGATATCTGCCAATGTGGGAGCATTATGTGTTATCCTTTTTTAATGGGTTGCCATTGTGTGCTTGCACTTTCCTGTCCAGCAGGCCAAAGTTGAGAAAAGTTGTTTTATGATGGAAAAATAAGCTGAGAACTGTGGGGGCTTTTATTTATGGATTCTGTAAATGTGTTTATAAGAGATCACATGGTCTTCCATGGACATCAAATGGTCTAGGAAAAGAAGGTTTCTCTGCCCACCTAACCCATCAAGGCAAGCATTAATTGAAGTGGGAAGCAATAGAATTAGACTGCTTTACAACAACAGATGAACTTTTTACCTGTCTACCCCAATTACTCAGAGCATCTCTTTTAAACAGAACTAAATGAATAAAGTTAATCTGTAGGGATCTTACCTCCTTTAGAGACAATTTAAACAAAAAACCCCCCACAAAACTTTGATCTCTTGTCTGTAAATGTCTTGTATAGAGGGTTTGGGGGGTTTCTTTCTTTAGAAAATTCTTTCTACTGCCCAGTTTCTCTTGTTAGACCAATTTGCCACCATGGAGCTTCAAAAGTTGTTCAATTAAAAGAATGTAAGGCTTTTTTTTTTAAAGGGAGACTTGTAACAGTTAGTGAATCCAGAGGAAAAGAACAGCCTTTTAACCAGCTTTTCCTAGCTTTGTTAATCAGACTAAAGGCACGTAGGGCCAAGGTTAGAGTATTATGGGGAGGGGTGGGATGAGAGAGAAATTTCTAAATGCTCTACAGGTAGCCAATGGTCTACTTAGAATTGCTCCAGTTTAAAGCATTTTTGCAGACCAATTATATTTCTGAATTCTTCAGTCACACTAACTGCTGCTTCATGGACAAAGCTGCTAACCAACCAGACCATTTTTGTTTTGTTTTTGCTTTGCTTTGCTCAAATAAGCTTTTAAGGTTCTGAGGTCCTGCCATTCTTTCTTGCTCTCTGTACACATGTATTTTAAACCCTAGTTTGAAGCGCAAGAAAGCTTGCATTTTGGGTTGATTTGAATGCGTAGTGGTTTCTGTGGTAGGAAAAAAGCAAACTAGGTGAGCAGCTTACAGAAACAGGCAGCCACTTGGTAGTTTCTCAGGACCTGGGGCTGCCAGTTTGCTAAATGGTAGAATCAGAAATTGGATAAGGGGTACATGGAGCAGTAAAGATCACAGAGAAGGGGAACTTGCCAATCTCAAGATGCCTACTGAATTTCAGAAACTTCTGAACTCTTTCCCAGGACTCTTTAGCCATCATTCCAATGATGAGAGGTATAAAACCTGGAAGCCAGCATTTCTCCTTCTCTATCCTAAATTAGGCTATCAGTGAAGGGGGTAATTCTAGTGCTCTTAACGTCAAGAGGTGGCCAGTTTTACTGTTTAAAGCTAAGCAGGGTTGGACTTGGGTATTTCTATATCAAGGATTCAGATTAAAAGCTGCCAAGAGTTATTGTTTGAGATGGGCAGCCATGAAAATTGAACAAACAAATGGGAAGTAAATAAATTATAATTATTGCTAAGAAATGACATATATCCATTAATGTATTGAGAGTTAACAACTAAGGATGGCCCTTCTCCTTTTCCTCCTCTAGAACTTGAACATAAACTTTAGGAGCTTTGAAATCATTAATTATTTTTTTTGCCATACACGCACCCACACCCACACACGTAAAAAAACAACAACCCTGCATTACTGAAGGAGAACTCAAGTGGCAAGTTAACTTCCTCTTTCTTGTGCTTTTCAAGATGACTTATTGTGTTTGTTTCCTTTTATCTCTTGTAATTTCAGCTGTTGAAGCCGGACAAAACCTGCTCCAATAAAATCCACAGAATCAGCAAAAGACAAATCAGATGGCAGAGAGGCTGTTTTGGCTCGTCAAGAGAATAATTAACCCTAGAGGATATGTTTTACAGCAAATTAGAAGTACTTTGCCAAAAATTATTTTCAATATTTTAATGCATAATGTACATAAGATGCAGAGATCCTGGAAAATGACGTTTTTGGACCAAATCCTGAAATGTTCACAAATGTAATTCTTGGGATGGCTGTTGTGTTTTGTTTGTGTATTTATCCCTTTTCTTCACTGTAGAGAGAGAATACAAATGAAATAGGTAGAATTATCATAAAGTGTAATAAATTAATGATAATAAAGTAATAAAATTATCTTCTAAAGGTTGCTTAAAAGAAATTGGGCTGGCTCATTAGGAACAGAAGGTTCAAATAGTTAAAGTAGATTTTTTTTTAAATCCAGTACATGGGCAATACAATTGCATACTAATTGTGGGAAAAGGCATTCTGAAAAGTTAGGGGTGACTGCCACCTACTGGCCAAAAAGTAAATTAACAGTCCTATGCAATCTAAAATTTGTTTCCTCTTTGCATTCGAATAGTTTAATTTTACTAATTAAAACTATATACACTTACTTTGGTTGGAGTATTAAATATGTTTGTCTTAGAGATTGAGAATTTTAGGGACAACTGTACTTAGCATAGGAAAAAGTGCCTGGACTTTTATTTTTGTGAAAGTACACTTTCCTATATTTGTTAGTGTAGGAGGATGACAATTATCTGGTAGCTGATAATCTCTTGTGATTATCTGGGTGTATTTTGCTATGTCCAGGTGCTAAGCCTCACCAGGGATTCTCAACGTCCGCATTTACCAGCTGTATTGGTATTAACTTTATATCACAATCTCTAGGGAGGATTTTGTATCTCAATGGTATATAGGCAATTCTGTGCTTTATGCATTAGTAGAGTTTATATGTAAATTAAAGGATTGTACATCTAATGCAATCTGCCTCGTACTTCTTTGACTTCAACTCCCATGTCTCAGATAAAATAGACCCAAGATATTCTGGCAGAAAAGTATATCATTTATGAGCCAATTCATATAGAGGACCATGTGAAAGTGTGTCTTCAGGAGAGGTGTGTGCTCCAGAGGTTGCTAAGTTCATAATGTCCCTCACTAGTGGCCATATGGCTGGATCTCCTAAGAGGTAAAGTTCTATCTACAGGTTCCCTACTCTTCATTTAAGATTGTAACATAAGTAAAATGGACTTCCAAAATCATAGAATTTTGACATTGTACTGCTTGGTATTATTCCAGTATGGTGTAGAGTAGTGGATAAAGTAGAAACTGGGAGATGGTGAGTTCTAGTCCCACCTTGGACACACAAAGCCAGTGAGTGACCCTGGATCAGGCCTTTTTTTCAGTTCTAGGAAGACAAAGGCAATGGCAAACCACTTCCGAAAAATCTTGCAAGGAAAACATACTTCTCTAGGCCATTATAGGTGACAATATAATGACTCAAAAGTGTACACACACACACACACCAAAAGCTATTGAGCTAGTATCTCACATTCCTCAAGTAGCAAATATTGAATAGCTTATACTTTTCAGCTTGCTAGTTTTTGTACCTATTTATCTTCTCTACAGATTAAAGTGCATTGCAAGAGCATTGCCCCTTATGCTAAATGAATAATTTGCTTATTGACATTTTGGTTCATTTGCCAGCATTCATTGGCATTGCCTTGAGTATATTTCATTAAATTCCAGTAGGACAGACCTACTAATGAAAATCCTATTTTTAAGTAGGGATGATTGCAAATAGAAACCATGCAGCCATGCGCTTTTTTGATCATGGGAAATGTCTCTGTTTATTATTTAAAAAAACATGCAGTGTTTTCCTTTAATCTGTTTGTAAACCTTTACATCTACATCTATAAATATTGGCAGGTTGCAGTTTGAAATTTAAAAACTCATACATACCATATATATTTAGTAAAAATTACAGATAGCAGCTTTATGAACTAACACCATTCATATCTTTCTTTTTATCCTCCCAAATCAATAATATCTTGACTTCAGGACTAATGACAATCAAACAACTTATAATACAGAAAGTTCTTAATTCTTTGCCAGTAGTGTTCTCTCCCTCTCTCTCTCTCTCTTTCTGTGTGTGTCCCCCTCTCTTTGTGTCTTTCTCCCCCTCTCTCCCCCTCCCTTTCCCTTTCTCTCTCTCTCCCCTTTCCTCCCTCCCTTTCTCTGTCTCTTTCTCTCCCCCCCTGTGTGTGTGTGTGTGTGTGTCCCTCTCTGTCTCTCTGTCTCTCTCTTTGTATGTGTGTTCTCCAGATATGTTACACATTGGTTCTCATAAATCTACATCAGAAGATCCACACCACAACAGAAGAAAACCAGGTTAGGGAAGATTGTTCTATAACAATCTGTAACATCTGTAAAGCAAGCATTTGAAAATTGCATCATATTGCCCCTAGATGGCCTCTTCCATCACTTCAACATTTTCTCAGTCAACTGCAGGTTTTCAAGGTCCTTTATCCCTTTAGACTTTCATAAATTTACCAGTCACAAATGTGGAGTAGATGGAAAGAGAATGCCACAAGCAGAATCTGATCAAACTTAGTTCTCAATATAAGAATCATCATGGTATTAGGTGTGGTGTTAAGATGTCAGAATGGGACCAGAGATTATCCTTAACCAGAACACTTTTCTGGATTGTTTTGGGCCAGCTGTTACCGGTACCTCTCAGTTCAAGCTATACTATAGGGTGGTTGATGAAAACAACAGAGGAAGCAATGCTGCCTTCAACTCTGGAAAGAAAAGTGGGCCCTGAGTCAAGTAGGAACAAATAATAGGAGACAATTGTTTGTGCAATTAACCAAAAGAAAAAAGCGATGGAATATCAAAGCTCAAAAACAAATGCTACCAACCTGCCTTCCCTTGAGGACCTGTATACTGAGTCAAAAAGAGGGCTGTGAAAATATTTACACACCCCTCACATCCCAGACATAAACTGTTTCAATTCCTACCCTCAAAACGACACTCTAGAGCACTGCACATCAGAACTAGACACAAGAACAGTTTTTTCCAGAACACCATTGCTCTGCTAAACAAATAATTCCCTCAACACTGTCCAACTATTCACTAAGTCTGCATTACTATTGTTATCAATCCTCTCATCCTTCCTATCACCCATCCTCTCCCACTTATGACTATATGGCTGTAACTTTGTTGTTTATATTCTTATGATTTATATTGATTGTTTCCTAGTATGATTTGATTGCTTACTTGTACACTATGACCATCATTAAGTGTTGTATCTTATGATTCTTGATGAATGTACCTTTTATTTTCTTTTTCTATACACTGAGAGCACATTCACCAAAGACAAATTCCTTGTGTGTCCAATTACACTTGGCTAATAAAGAATTCTAATATCTAATATCTAAAAAGTGTTAACCATGACAGTGTAACATCAGCCATGTCCAAAAAGCACCACCAGGGGGAGACAGAATCTTGTACAACCATTTTGTTTAACTCTAATCCAAAGGTCTCCAACCTTGGCAACCTTAAGACTTGTGGACTTCAACTCCCAGAATTCTGGGAATTGAAGTACACAAGTCTTAAAGTTGCCAAGGTTGGAGACCACTAATCCTTCTCAATGTAGTCATCATTCCCACAGGGTAGGGCTGGGGCTCAGAATAATAGGATTTGTAGTTGTACGCTTGAAGGATAGCAGGTTGAAGGAGACCAATATGCATTAATCCCAGGTTTGGCTCAGGGACACATCTGCGCATAAGAAGAAAGCATCAAGAGCCATGGTGGCACAGTGGTTAGAATGCAGGACAGGTAGTCCTCGGCTTACAACAGTTCACTTAGTGACCATTTGAAGTTACAATGGCACAGAAAAAGTGACGTATGACCATTTTTCACACTTATGACCATTGCAGCATCCCCATAGTCACATGGTTTACATTCGGATATTTGGCCATTGATTCACATTTATGATGGTTGCAGTGTCCCGGGGTCACATGATCCTTTTTGCAACCTTCTGACAAGCAAAGTCAATGGAGATTCACTTAACAACCAATTTAACAATTAACAAATGTGGCAAGAAAAGGCGTAAAATGGGACAAAATTATCACTTAACAAATTTTTTTCACCCAGCAACATAACTTCTGAGCTCCATTGTGATCATACATTGAGGATTACCTGTACTGCAGGCTACTTCTGCTGACTGCCGGCTGCCGGCAGATCGAATCCCACCAGGCTCAAGGTTGACTCAGCCTTCCATCCTTCCGAGGTGGGTAAAATGAGGACCCAGATTGTTGTAGGGGACAATAGGCTGACTCTGTAAACCGCTTAGAGAGGGCTGGAAAGCACTATAAAGTGGTATATAAGTCTGAGTGCTATTGCTATCGATTCTGGTTATGTACATTTTGCTTGTAACTCTTTGAGGGAAAGGGTATCTCCTTTCCCTTGCTAAATAACTTTATGTCTTCCCAAGCATTGCCGAAGAAAAAGATGGAATAGAGGTGATAATGGCATAAAATATTGCATTACCTGTGTAAAAGAATTCAGGTAGCTCCATCTCAGTCAGGACTTCCAGAATCTCCTTTTCAGTTGATGGACCAAATAAACCCCTTAGGATGCCCTCTGCTGGCAGAAAAAATATAACAGACTACTTAGATATTCTATCTTTTTTGTCTTTTTTAGTGTTAAGAATTTCTTCAGACGATGAAACACAAATTGAAATAAGTAAAAGTAAAGAGAGTGGAGAATTTGCAAGAAATAAAAAAGAGGGAGGAAAACAACTTCAGGAACATATGCATCTATCCTTCTTTTCAAAGAGGAACCACAAATTAGAGATATTTTCATGCTTTGTTTCCAGCGTTCACCTGTACGCATGTCCGTCATCTTATTCAGTTGTCACAGCTGCAGCCCATGAAGAGGATCAAGGCCCTCTCCTCCCAAGTAGACCACACCTCTCCCTTATCCTCTCCTCCCTGCATGTCCTAATGGTTTTTAACAAGTTTTCAGTGGATAATTAAAATCTTATTATCTTCCCTATGTCTTAGGTAATCCCACCAGGCTCAAGGTTGACTCAGTCTTCCATCCTTCCGAGGTGGGTAAAATGAGGACCCAGATTGTTGAGGGCAGTAGGCTGTCTCTGTAAAACCGCTTAGAGAGGGCTATAAAAGCACTATAAAGCAATATATAAGTCTACATGCTATTGCTATTACACAAACCGCTTCGGCCCCTCATTTAATCCACATTTTTCTTAATATGCTGTATTTTTGCTATTGTTCAGCAAAAGAGAAAAGTGCAAACACTGAACAACTGAAGGGCTGGGCATATAAAATACTGAGGTTTATATCCTCTGTGTGTGAAAGGGGGGGAGGGAGAAAGAAAGTGTGAGAGATGGGGGGAGGGGAGGGAGAGAGAGAGGAAGAGAGGAAGAGGAAGAGAGAGGAAGGGAGAGAGAAGAAGAGAGAGGAAGAGAGAGAGAGAGACAAAAAAGAGGGGAAAGAGAGAGACAGAGGGAGGGAGGGAGGGAGAGAAAGAGAGAGAGAAAGAGAGAGAAAGAGAAAAAAAGAAAGGAGGACAAGAGAGAGGAAGAGAGAGGGGGAGAGGGAGAGAGGGAGAGAGAGAGAAAGAGAAAGCCTAAAAGAGAGGAAGAGCGAAAGAGAGAGAAAAAGAGAGAGAGGATGAGAGAGAGAGAAAGAGAGAGAGAGAAAGAGAGAGAGAGAGAGCTGTGAGCACCTAATCAAAACCCATGTTTATACTATACAGGTTGTTAAGCGAGGCTGTTGTTAAATAACTTTTGCCCTGTTTTACTATCTTTCTTCAGTTGTTATGTGAATCACTTCAACTGTTCATTTAGGAACACTGTTGTTAAGGGAATTTGGATTCCCTATTGACTTTGACAAAAGATTATCACATGATCCTAGGACACTGAACTGTCATAAGTACTTGCCAGTTGCCAAGCATCCATATTTTGATCACCTGGGAATGCATAAGGGTGAAAAAAACTTTTTTCAGCGGCATTGTAATTTTGAACAGTCATTAAAGAAACTGTTCTAAGTCAAGGACTGTCTGTACATCCAAAAGGACAGAGCTGCAATCACACACACACACACACACACACACACACACACACATTTTGGCTGTTTTGATTGTCCCCTACCTCACAGAGTGCTTCATCCTGTCTAGGTCTGTCAATATCTAGTGGTATCCAGGACCTAGTTAAGCTTTCATGGCAACTAAAAAGTAAAAGGACAGAAAGCTGAAAGCTAAGACACCGTGAAGTTTCCAGACCATATTAAGGAAGCAACCAAGAATGCGGTTGATCTTTTAGTATTGAAAAGATTCTTGAGTGCAGGGCTGTGGGTTGTGACATGTTTTGGTAAATTTTGTTATGGGAACTCATCAATGGTGGGATTCAGCCAGTTCTCACCAGTTCGGGAGAAACGGTTGTTAAATTATTTGAATCCCACCACTGGAACTCATTACAAAGCTATTCTGACTTTTAGTTAATTCTGAGGCGTTTCTCCCATCGCAGCGTTCCTGTGTTTGGTGTTTTTTTCCCCCCAACCTGCAAACGCTTCCAAATCCTCTAGAGGGCAACATTTCCTTTTGTGGCGTGAGTAATTTCAGCGTTTCAGTAGCAACATAAAATGAAATTAGATTCACTGAACTGAAATCAGTTTAGTACAGAAGATGGAGATCAGAAGGAAAATATTGATTCCAGTAACGAAAGAGGTAAATGATACCGAGATGTCAAAAGAAAAAAAGTTTCCAGTTTAAATAATTTGAAATATTAGGTACCCCATTTATAAAGTTAATACTAAATGGCATATAGAAAATTTGAACCTGGCTGAACCTGATATCATTAAGATGTTTATTAATTAAAATTCCAGTATTCCAGAGTACTTTCAACCACACTTTTCCCAATCCTTAATTACCCTGGTCATTCTTGGAGAGACTGAGTTACGTGTAAACTTTTAAAGGTTTAAAGTATTGGGGGGAGAGTGGAGTTATTTCTTTCTTTTTTCAAGGTTAAAATGTTTTTTGAACTATTGATATTCCACATTTCAGATGTGCACATATTTAAACAATTTAATGAATGCAAATCATTCCCCTTTTTAAAAATAGCTATTTTGCACACTCACACAACACTTACCAATTTATGGACTTATAATTAATTCTATGTAATTAACCTGACCTATATGTTTATGAGTTTTATACCAGTGTTTGTAAATCATGATGCTCAGAAACCCCTGTTTAATTTTTACTAGCCCAGACATGTACAAAACCAACTATTGCAAATCTCTCTAGGAATGGAAGTGTATATCAAAAAGTATATGTCATTTGTAATACCCTTATTACATTTCCCCTCAAATACTGGGGTTTTTTCCCCCCAAGAATGGAACTGTGTGAAGATACCTGCATGAAAACTTTTGTCTGATTTAGAAGTCCTAAACTTTTGGAATCCTGAATCACAAGTTAAGCGTGAAAGATGCAATTGGACTCTTCAACTAAACATTTTATTTTCATTGCCCACGAGAAGACAAGTCTTCCCTTATTCACCTTTCCTCCCTCATGAGCTTTTCAAAAAATCAGGTGCCTCTACTGGGTAGGCAAATCTTAAACAAAGCATCTGAAGGTGCTGACAAATAATGACATAGGTATCCTTGAGGAAGACTCCTTGGTCACTGTTCCCACCCTTTTTTTTCCCCCAGAGAAAGAGAGAGAGTCCAAATAATTTTGCAAGTTTTATTATTTTTTGGGTGTAAATGGTTATACATTATATTGATGATACAATGATATTAGTACATGATTTATTGATATTAAAGATATTCTATTGTTAGATAGCATTGAGCATTAGACAGAATAAAAAGAAATAGTTGTACAGTATGGATTACAATTTGTAATATTGATTATAAGAATATAATAATTCAACTTTTTCATATGGAGTATAATAATAATAATAAAACTACCAGAATATTTATTGAGCAATAAAGTTCCTAACCTTGACCTTCAATGCTTTGTATTGAAATATCTATTGTAATGTATTATATGTGATATAGATATGGACACACACATAGACATACATTTATGTGTGTGTTAATGAAAAGAAAAAAATACAATAAGCAAAAGCAATTTAATCTATGTGCAGATTGCATCAAAGTATTTGTTGTGTAATAAAAGTTTCAAACTTGAGAATTAAAGTCTGTATTGTAATGTTGTATATGTAGATATAGGTGTGGATATACAAACACACATTTATATATCCATTTAATAAAAAGAAAAAATACTGTAAGCAAAAGCAATTTAATATGTCTGCAGGTTATATCAAACTATTCAAACTTGAGCTGAGAATTGAAATCTGTAATGTAATATTTTAACTATAGATATATGGACATGCACAGAGATGTGTATATAAGTGCATGTTAATGTAAGGAAAAATATGCAATAATTATTGCATACAATAATTATAAAAGCATGCAATAATTATAAAAAGGGGGAAGGAAAGGGAAAAAGGAAAAGAACTATTGGGTTTCTAATATTCCCCTTTAGCCATATTTGCTAATGTACCAAATTGTTGGTTTTAAACCTCCTCCGTAGGTGGCAGACTGTGATTGTATTTGCCATGCAGCCTACATATATTATATATTTGGGAAGCATTATTTTTAAAGTTTAAAGTTTAAAATTGTTAAACTTCCGTTATGCCTATATGCCATTAATTTTGCGATTGCTGCATGTTCTCCAAGTTTAAGTTCGTAGTGAGATACGGCCAGAATTTTATTTGTTCCAATGTTGAGCAAAACTTATTTTTGCTGCTGTAAGCAAATATCTGATTAAGTTTTAAAGTTTCTAATGTTTTGTCATGTAAATGATGTAAATCTTATAGACCATGCCACCATTTTCCCCATTATTGTGTGGCAACTGTTTCTTTAAAACATTGTAGTGTTTGGAATATTATATCTTATTCTGTATCCTATCTAAATAAAAGTTTATACAAGTATTCCAAGGGGTGGAATATTCCAAGGGGTGTTGGTTTCAAAAGTCAAGACTTTCATTATCTACCACTCCGTTCTTGTGAGCTTTTTCAAAAATCAATTGCCTATACTGGATGGGGCAATTTTCTTTAAAATGAAATAGTTTGAAGGGGAAGGATGGCTGGCTGGAGAAAGGTGAAGTTTACTCCTCTTTAAGGGGCCTAGGTTGAAGACCACTGTCTTAGAAAGGGAAGGATTATTGTCACCCAGCTCCCTTTTTTATATAATAATGTAAATATGCAAGAGTTAAATGCTGCAAAAAGTTATATGGTTTTGTAATGCATGCATAGTTTTCTCTCCGCTCAATGCAGACTTAAGAATAGATTTAAAATTCAAACTCTTTTGCACAGTGCCTTTCCTTTCTAAATCTTTTCATGGGGAAACTTGTACCATCCTCATTGTCATCAAAATTGAACAAATCTCTGCTTCCTCCTGCTCTTTGATTCAGGCGAGTCCCGCATATCTTTGACTTACTGGTTATAAGCTTATCTCTACACTCTTTTATAAGTATAATCAGGTCAAGAAGGCCAAGACATATGGAGAAAATACTGACAATCCACAGTAAGATCATCATGGCAGACTTTTCAGTTGTTCTGGGGACAAAGCAGGTGATGTCGCTTGGACAAATGTCCTCACTACAATTATACAATTTCTCAATAAAGAAGCCAAACAAATTGTAGCTACTAATGGAAAAGCCAATTTCTATCATTATTCTCATGAGCAGTTGAACTGCATAGGCACGTGAAAAATCAGGAATTGCCAATTCATGGGCCCCGCAAGTGACTTTGCTTTTAGTTGGCTCGCTGAAGGCTGTATCGGTATCTCTGAAGCCAATGGAGGCTTTGATCTGTTTGCAATAAGCGCAAGGGAGAGAATAAGCCTCCACAACTTGCTTACCCACACTGTGCAAGATGCACGTAACATACACTGCAAAAGGAAGCAGGACAGACAAGAACTCCAACAACCAGAAACGAACTTGAGAGACTGCTGTGAAAGTATCGTAGCACACGCTTGGGCATCCTGGCTGGTTGGTATTGCAGACAAAAGCGGCCAATTCATCTTGGTAGAGAGGGTATGCCCCAAGCGATATCAGTATCAGTTTCATCAGCATAGTGTAGATTAGCCAATTCTTTCCTGGAAAGGAAGAAGAAGGGTGAGATTAGACAAATAAAAATGTCTGATCCAACATGAACACACCTGCACATTGACTAGCCTGGTTGAGAATAATTCCTAACCAATAAGCCATGTTATGTTTGATAACATTAGATAACCCTTCTCATCAATTGCATTGCTGAGTGGGTCTATGACAATTCACCATGGCGAACACATCATAGGCCAACTCGCTATGGCCAGCTTGCTGTGGTCAACTCATCACAGGCCAACTCGCTGCAGGGCAAGAATTACATGAATCTCAAATAAAAGGAGGAATAGAAAAATTATAGAAAGAACGCAAAAGGAGGGACAAAATAAAATGTGAATTAAAATTAAATTATTTTTTAATTTATTTTAAATAATTAAATTGAATTGTTAAATTATCCCTGCAGTGAGTTGTCCTGTAACATGTTGGCCGTGGCAAGTTGTCCCATGATCAGTCAACTATGGTGAGTTGGCTGCAGTGAATTGGCCATGGTGAGTTGTTTCATTCCATTGCTGGAGCTGGAGAACAGAATAAATAGTTAAAGTAATCAGGGCATACTCATAAAAGCATATTTCACATTGTATAACATCACAAAACAGGAACAAGAAAATTCTAAATTTATAGAATAGATGGGGTAGTAAACAGATAAATACCAGAAGCAAGCTATAATAGATTCCTTCTATTATTATTTTTCCGACTTCAAAAACTTTTTGTTTTTTTTTCATTCTCAATTTTTTTTCCAAGAGCAAATGTGGGGTGTAATATAAAACTGACAGTGTGTTTTTCAAAGTCTGCCCTAAAGCACAGGATAACTCATGTGACCCACAGTGATCATGAATTTACCAGGGACAGATTGAAGCCAATTGAGGGGATCAAGAAATAAATTAAATAATGTAAATCTAGATTGTTGAGTCTGCCTACGGACAAGAGAAAGTGAGAAGCAGACACTATACAAGGTCACAATGCACGAACGTTTCGATGATGTTATGAAAACAGTCTCATTTTTTAAAGACAGCTGGACAATATTTGATATTGAGGCTACTCCTGCTTTAAAAGAGCAAGGACACAAAGGTGGATTTGCCCTCCTTTTGCCTAACGCCTTACAATTTTTCTCTTCCACTGCTTTTGCCAAACACTAGTTCTGATCATATTTATTTGTAACTAGTTGTGTTTAATTATTCCCTAACAGAATAATATTAATCTGTCCTGAAGTGCCTTCACCCATTTACTTTTGCTATTGTCTTTGCAGGCATTAAATAAAAGTTCTGCTCAAAAAGACAATCACACTTTGCAGCTTCACTTCCACACCATTTTTGAGGGAAAAAGTGTGTAAATTCTGTTTTTTGTTCCTGAAAATTTCATTTCAAGGTGGTTCGTTCTCGAACCAACTCCTTCTCCACAATGTTTCCCAGACTGAAAATAATTAAAATGCAAATGTATAAATACTTACCTACAATGGTCACATTATGATTGAGGACAAGGAAGGAAAAGCTAAAACCGCTCCAGTATTTCATATTTGGAGTCATACAGTCTTCTTTCTACAAGAAGAATGAAGTGCAGCAATCTTAGTGAAAAGAGGGAGAAGAAACATTAAAAAGAAAAAAAAAATCTATAGATGGCTTTTAGGAGGAATGGTGAAATAAGGTACGCAAAGTTGGCAGAGATTTGAGATTTCTTTGGGAAATCTTACAGAGAGCAGAATTTTCTTTCTTTTCTTTCTTTCTTACAGAGAGCAGAATTTATTAAAATCTGGAAATAAAAAAACAGTATTAATTTCAGGCATGGTTTTAAAGAAACTTCTGGAAGTAAAAAAAGGGGAAAAAAGAGGTGAAATTGAAGTAGGAAACAAAACCTTAACATTTTGCAGATTACTTACTAGGAGAAATTTCTCTTCCTAAATGATGCGAGGCGAAACCTGTCAGCCAGAGAAGTTTTAGGCTTGTCTATCTTCTCTACTATTAGGATGAGCTGGTAGCTGGAAAGGTCTCTCTCGTTCTGAGGCAGAGAGGCTCAGGAGCAAGTAGAAAACAGTGAAAGCCAATTGTTCCTCCCACCGTGGAAGGAAACAGATGTCATAGTTATCTGTTGTTTTCAGGAAAAAAAATGTGCTACATGTAAACACGTTTTAGTAAACCATGGATAGTCCTTATTTGGGGATGATCCAATTTGATATGGGGAGGCAACTCGCCTTGGATAGAAGGTCTTTTACTTCTTTATTGCAAGCCTTTTTTTTTTTCCTGCACAAGTGTTCTCCCAAGAACTCCATCGAAGTATCTGCCATTATTTTTTTCCTACAGTTCAGTAACAAAACCTTAAGACGTGCCTTAGCCAAGGCCATTCCATCAACCACCTAAGGGCAAAAGGATGAACAATAGAAAACAAATGGCAATGAAGTCAAGTACCATACTGTGGTTAGCACACATATTTGATGGAAAGATTTATTTGCAAAGTAGATAGTTTGGGTCCCCCCCCCTTGTCTAAGTGCCAATTTGCACATAGGTCTCATGCAGAGGAACATTAACATGAGATCCAAAGATCTTCTCTTCCTCTGCAAATAGTGTCTCTTTGCCCGTTCAGACTTTTTTAAAAATCTTTTTCTCTGAGTTTAATTGACTCACATCTTAGCAAATTCTGCAAGTGGAGGTTACAAAGATGAAGTGCCTTCTGTTCAAATGTGTATTCCTAGCAGCAATGGGATCCTGCTTGTTCCACTACCGGTTCAGTGATTGTGCGTGCACACGCTTGCACACCTAATGCACACATGCAACTTTCCATACAGCCTGCAGCGCCAATCAGCGGAAGGGATAAAGAAGAGAAAAGCGCAGGGGCTGGTGGGAGGGCCGATACTGTGCTTTTCTCTCCTTTCTCCTCTCAGCCTCAGGAGGCTTTTTTTACTACCAGTTTGCTCAAACCAGTGTGAACCAGTAGCATAACACCACTGATTCCTAGCGTATTTTTAGAAATAGGTCTCCCATCTGAATGTCCTCCAGTAACAGGTAGAGTCTCAGAGATGGGCATTTTCAGAGACATCATTTATTCCAGGAAATAATGAACACCTGACCTATAGCAAATGCAAAAAGGAAGGATTATGAATTTAATGTGCATTCTGCCTGGTTCAACTAAGAGGGCTGATTAATGGCCTTTTAAGCTTCCAATCAATAGCATCTTGATTTCAGGATCAATGAATGATATTGCTTCCTTCTCAGATGAATTTTATGTATTTTGACTATCTTTTAAAAAATATGTATTAATTAATTATTAATTAAACATTGGGCGCTATCTAACAAAATGAAATTCAATGAAAATGAAAAAAGTAAGGCATTTAGGCAAGAAAAATAAAATGCACAAGTACAGTACGTCACTCAATAGTAGTAACTGCAAGAGGGATCTTGGACTCCTAGTGGATAATCATTTAAATATGAGCCAGCAGTGTGCAGTACCTGGCAAAAAAAAGCCAACAGTTCTAGGCTGCATAAACAGAGGGATAGAATTAATGGTGAGATTCATTTTTTTTTTACTACTGGTTTTGTGGACGTGGCTTGGTGGGTGTAGCTTGGCTTGGTGGACTGTAAAATCTCCATTCCCATTTTAAAAAGGTGTCAAATTTGTCTGAAGTGGTGTAGGGTTTCCTGCCTAAGCATGAGGTTGGACTAAAAAACCTCCAAGGTCCCTTCTAACTCTGTTATTCTATTTTATTCTAAATTGAAACCAAAGAGAGGGGAAATTGCAAGAAATTACAAGAAGTGAAAAAATTAAAGCGAAGGAATATGTGAATATCATTTGCAGATGATACTAAGCTGGCAGGAATAGCTAACACCCAAAAAGATAGGCTCAAGATCCAGATGGCTCTTGACAGACTAGAACACTGGGCTATATCTAACAAAATGAAATTCAATGTAGAGAAAAGTAAAGTCCTACACTTAGGCAAGAAAAACCAAAAGTACACATATAGACTGGATGAAACCAGGCTCAATAGCAGTAACTGTGAGAGGGATCTTGGAGTCTTAGTGGACAATCAGCTAAATATGAGCCAGCAGTGTGCTGCAGCAGCCAAAAAAACTAGTGCAATCCTAAGTTGTATTAACAGAGGGATACAATCAAGATCAAGGGAAGTACTAATACCACTCTATAAAGCCTTAGTAAGACCACACCTAGAGTACTGCATCCAGTTTTGTTCACCACGTTATAAAAAAAAAGTTGAGACTCTAGAAAAAGTACAGAGAAGAGCAACCAGGGTGATTAGGTGACTGGAGACTAAAGTATATGAAGAAAGGTTACAGGAACTGGGCATGGCTAGTCTAGTAAAGAGAAGGACCAGGGGAGACATGATAGCAGTCTTCCAATATTTGAGGGGCTGCCACAGGGAGGAAGGGGTCAAGCTATTTTCTAAAGTGCCTATAGGCCAAACAAGGAATAATGGATGAAAACTGAACAAGGAGAGATTTAACCTGGAAATAAGGAGAAACTTTCTGACAGTGAGAACAATCAACCTATGGAACAGCTTGCCCTCAGAAGTTGTGAGAGTGCCATCACTTCAGACTTTCAAGAAGAGATTGGACTGCCATTTATCAGAAATGATGTAGGGTCTCCCACTTGGGCGGGGGAGGGTTTGGACTAGATGACCTACAAAGTCCCTTCCAATTCTGATTATCTGTTATCTGAATGACTTGCAGCCTTATTTTCAATAGATAATTACACTCTAATTATTTTTGTCCTTTTTAGATACTACGCAACTAACGTCACCTCCTCTAACCCACCTCTTTACTTTAAGTTGCTATTTTGACCAACTTTCAACTTCCAAAACCAATTAATTTATTAGAATTTCCTAAATTATTAATTTACCTTTCTGCATCTTTTCAGAATGAGGCATAATAGAGCAAAAAACAGTATATAGAACTATTAGAACTAGGAACAATAATATTGCAGGCGTTGGGCGGGGGAAATCGGCCATGAAGGCTAACATTTGGTGAAGCATGTTTATCTTTAAGGACTTTGCAGTGAAGGCCACAGTTATCCCAAGGTTGTTTAAAATATGAAAACAACCTTTTTGCTCATTCAAATTCAGTTGGGCCACCCCAAAGAGATAAGACTGGTCAGGGTGGTCTCAGCTCTTCTTGAGTACAAAACTAAGTACTTAATAAAAGTTCATTTGCAGATGTAGCCAGTATTCCAAATTAAAAATAAAAGTATTCTCAAGATGAGGGTTAAGAACAAAATGCAGCATATCCATGATTGCTGATGGAGTCCCAAGATCAGCCCCAGTATTTTTCCTTGTAATATACAGAAATATTTTGACTCCTTCATTCTGATGTCTTTAGGCTCCCATTGCCAACATGCAGCCTTCAATAAGGCAGTAGAAGTAGGACTGGAGTAAGAGACACATTAAATTTGGGTTAGCTTGTTGTAGATCAAGGGCCTGCTAAAATTGCATGGTTTTCAGATGTCCTTTTTGTTGGCAAATAGATCAGGGCCATCTTAACAGCATTATGGCTCTGGCCAAAGCAGTGTACTGGGGCCCCTACAAAAACTACTCACAGGAATAAAAATGTAAATGGTTGATAAAATTAAACATATATTTATTTTATGGGCACTTCCAACAAAATTGAAACATTAAAAACATGCTGTGCAGCCATTACTAATCAACGTGATAAACATTTGAACAATACACGAGGTTTGAAAAACACAATAATACTCATTAAGCTATATAGTTGTTGTATTTTTATGATACAATGTACATTGAAGGGTTAATATATACAGATTCGTATGGGGCCCCTATGCTCATGGGGCCCACTGGCAAGTGCCCATCAGGCCCCTGCATTAAAACAGCCCTGAATAAATCTGGTTTTTCCTGAAAAACTGGAGGGGTTACAACAGAGGTATAGTCAAAAAAAGTCAAGATGGCAGTGACAATAGTGTAATTAAAACTCCATCCATTTTTTTTAATGTTCATGATGTGGATTTCCCAGATTGACAGCATGATTACAGCTTCTTTAATTGGTTGGGACTGTCAACTTTAATTTCACGCAATGTATCAAACAATGAAATATTCCTCTGGAACGATACAAAAAAAATTAAAATCAAGAGTTTCACCCAGAATATTTAGAATAGAATATTGCTGGAAAGGACTTTTTTGGTCTTCTAGTCCAGCCCCCCAGCTGAAGCAGGAGAACCTGTACTATTTCAGATAAGTTGCTATCTAGTCTCCTCTCAAAACCTCCAGTGATGAAGCACCCACGATTTCTGAAGGTAAAGTTATTCCATTGGTTAATTGTCCTTACTATTAGGAAGTTTCCCCTTAATTCCAGATTGCTTCTTTCTTTGGTTAATTTCCAGCCATTACTTCTTGTCCTGCTCTTGGAGCATTGTAGAATAATTTGGCCCCCTCTTTGTGGCAGCCTTCAAATACTGGAATATTGCTCTCATGTCAACCTAATTCTTCTTTTCTTTAGACTAGCCAAACCCAAATCCTGCAGCCATTTTTCATATATTTTAATATCCAGGCCTTTGATTGTCTTAGTTGTTCTTT